TAAAGCACTATCTGCCTTACCTAAACTGGTTATTCATAAGCGTTAAGAAAGAATGCATTAAATTAGCATCATTTAAAATAAGCATTAAAATTTTATGTACCATCAAGTCAATTCTGACTCACTGCAACACCACATTTCAGAGTAGACTGTTAGTTTTCAACAGCTCAGTTTTCAATAGATGTCCAGCATTTCTTCCAGAACACCTGTGTGGACTCAAACTGCTAACCTTCTCATTATGAACGGAGCTTGTGAACTATCTACAACATCTAGGGACTCCAAACAGCATTTGGGTTTTCAAAATTGCTGATTAGGATTTGTAATAGTATAAAGCAAAGTCTCACCTAGTTTAAAATACTGTAGAGCAGTGACATTTTCCTACCAACCCTTCACTGCAGTAACTTCACCTGTGAAAACAAATCTGTACTTAATGGTCATTTTATCTTACCATTTACAATTCCTTTACTAAATGTGACATTTGTCTCAAAATGAGTTACTTATGCATACATCTGGGAACATTTATGCAGATTATCTAAATGATTTAATGGCAATGAGGAAAATTAAACGATTTTTCTTCTTCAAGAAGGAAATACCTTTCTTGATGTTTCTAGTTATTTTGGAAAACCATTCTTCTATTGAATCAACATTATTGCAGCCTACTGTATTTCCCAAAACTACAATTTGTGGCCACGTGTAAGATTCCCCAGTTAATCACTTTTCAAAAAATCGTTAATTCTCGTCCAGCAAGTAGAGTTCACATCCATTCAACTGGGTGGGCTTGTGACTCATTCAACCCAACAGAATAAAGAAGTGTGATGTGATTTGCCAGGGTAGGTCATAAAAAGGCTACAACTTTGGCCTGTCATGTTCTCGGAATCCACCAGTTTGAAACAGCCATGTACATAGGAAAAGTTCTGGCTACCGCCCAGCTAAGTAGAACAAATAAATGCCAACATGATGCGGAATGTCAATAAATGGTAAATTTGAGTTAAGAATATAGAACCATTCTTTGAACTTCTAACTTCAGTTACAGAAAAGCAATGTAAATATAGCCTCCCCCACCTTTCTAAAAAAAAAAAAAACTATGACTTTAGGACTCAACTCTGCAAATTTTTTTTTTTTTTTTAAAAAGAAGAGTCAGGAATAGGAGTTGAAAATGAAATGTGTCACTAACTGCCACCATGAACTGCCTCCATTACCATGAGATCAGAACTGGGTGGTATCCAGCTACCATTACTGCACATTTTGATCAAAGATTCTATACAAGAATCCTGATAAAAGCACTAAAATGCAGAACAAAACCTCAAATCTCATGGGCTCTGGACTTTGGGAGCCATGGAGGCTAGATAAACCCCTGAAACTATTGCCCTCAGATCAGCACAGGATTATCAATAAGCAAGGTAAGCATGGGCTTACTAACTAATCTGTAGTGTATATTTTCACATTTTTCAACACACAAGAACATTTTATCCTTAGCCTTAAAACAATAAAGCTCAAAATACTGAAGAGATTTTCAAAACCTATAAAGAAATCTACAATTACCAAAATGAAAAGACCACCAACGCAACTAAGGGATGACTTCCTCCTGGCAATTTTATAGCTCTACCAAGTGCTATGCTCCATTAGGAGCTCCGGTAGCATAGTGCTTATGGCACTTGACTGCTAATCAGAAGGCTGGCAGTTCAAACCACCAGCCACTCCTCAGAAGGAAGGTTGGGCAATCTACTTCCATAGTGATACTGCCTCGGAAACCCAAGGAGGGTCACTATGAGTCAGATCTGACTCTGCGACACGTAACAACAACGTGCTCTATTATTCATTTATCTCATACTTAAGAATTGATAAACTAATTTCTTTGAAACTGAAAAACTGGAAAGCAGAGCACTGTCAGTGAAATCCAAGAAAAAAACAAGATCATAAGTATGCTGTTATTTTTTAAATATTAACTGAATGTATCAATTTAAATCCTCATGGATAAACATTTATTCCTAAATAATTTCACATTCCAACAAGGATGTTGTCTTCAGTCACTTAAATGATGATCCTTAATCAGTCCAAGACCTTGACTTTTTATCCAGGTTATAGTTTTAATGTCAGTATTTTTCAATCAATATACAAAATCACCAGTATACATGTCTAATTTCATTTACATTTATTGTTCAGCTATTAGACTTAATACTTTAAGTAGCAAATTATATTATGAACACGTATTTTCTAAACAAAACAGAGCTCATGGTTACCAAGTATATATAAATTCCAGGTTTTTAAAAGACTTCTTTAGCATATGTAGTATCTTTTCTAAAATCCCTAACAATGTATTCCTAAACTATCAATCTGTTCTATAGATTATTAAATAGTTGGCTTACTCTATCCTGCCAAATACATAAAGGCTAACATTTCTTTAAGAGTTCATAAAAATGGACTCTAATTTAAACGAAGTCCTGAAACCAAAGCATTAAAATATTTGAATACTGTTGTCAGGTGCCAGTGAAATTAATTTTGACTCACAATGACCCAAGTGACAGAACTACTCCATAGCGTTTTCTAGTCTGTAATCTTATGAAAGCACATTGCAGGTGTTTCTCCCATGGAGATGCTGAGTGGGTTCGAAATGCCAACCTTTTTCAGTTAGCAGCCTAGCACTTAACCATTTCACAACCAAGGTTCCTACTGGAACACTGAAGTTTAATTATTTCTACACGATACAATTAAGTTTTCATACAATAGCTAAAAGGCACTCTTTATTTTTATTAACAGGAATGACCTACAACTCAGATAAACTACAAATTTATACTGTCTTATAAGCAGCAGCAATATAAACACTGTTAATTCCATTAACTTAAGGGAATTATCCCACACTACTTCATCATTAACCTATTTACAGAATAAAGAAAATATTTTTACCAAAGTTAGTGCCTCTTGTTCACTTTTGTTGTTAAATGAACTGGACGAAATACAGGTAGAATCCCATTTTTCTCAAATATCACTCTGTAAGCCAATTCCACATATTTATATCAGAGAAATGTTAATACTTCAGTAAACTAGGTGAAAGAATTATAATTACATGATGTAACTTTCATACATCCATGTTAAACTACAAACCAACTTATTAAACTTGTTGGTCATACTTGAATGACTATAAAATGAGTCTTAAAACCATTTTGAGAAGATTGAATACTTTATAGGCGATATGATGTATTTTTTTTCTAGAAAAGAAAAAATGAGAATTTCTTAGTAATAGACACTTGGGCTGGAACAAACTATAAACTGAGAATGTAAAGGCAAATCCTGGAGTGTCAAAAACGTTTGTGGTAATCTCAGAACATATCTGTCAAGAACTATGAAACCAATTTCTAATCTTCAAAATAACACACTCCACTTAGCAGGGCTTCAGAGATTGCTCTTAAAATTATACAAATTTATAGGTCATACTGGCCTACTCTAGGCCAGAATAGCTTACTCTTGGCTTAAAACAGTATATATATTTATATAAAAATAAAAAGACACCCCAAATATCACCAGTATATTTTATAAAATAAAATCCAAATTTTATTAAGGACTTGAAATTACATATTTCAAATTTTGAGAATGGAATTCAACCATTTTTGAACTGGAAAAAATGGCACAAATGAACACTGATGTCTCTTAAAACTCCAACTTTATTAAGAAAACAATTCCTCTGCAAATCATCTCCCCCTTATATTACAAGATGAAATATTATCTACCTCTTCACTTTGGCAATAGCTATTTCCTAAAGGAATTAAAATAAAAGTAGTGGTTATGCTACTTCATTAACTTCATTAAAAATGGGATTCTATCTTTAGATTAAAAATTTCAGAAAAATTCTGTTTAGATAATGAGCTATATAGGTACAAAAACAACATTCAGGAAGAATGTCTGATCTAAGCAACCAAAATATTTTTGAAAATGGGGAGAGCAGAGATAGGTATCTTCATGGCATTTTTTTCCTATAAATTATTGTAATTGGTTAAGGATTTCCAGTAGTTAATTGAAATCTCAGTAGTGAAATGAATTAAAAAAACAAAAAATTCCACTGCCGTCAAGTTGATTCTGACTCGTAGTGACCCAATAGGGCAGAGGAGAACTGACCCAACAGAGTTTCCAAAGCTGTAAATCTTTAAGGAAGCAGACTGCCACATCTTTCTCCCACAGAGCTGCTGGTGAATGAGTAGTACTTTACAATTAGAAAAATGTGTTCACATTCCCAGACCTTAATACTAAATTTTCAAAAAGGAACTTATCACCTCTAATAACAAACCCAATGTCATTCTATTAAAAATAAACTTTTGGCCTTCCTCTGATTAATCAATCAGTCCACCTCACAGTCAAAAGCTTAAATTCATCACCAAAAATTAACAGTAATTAGCCTGAGGTATTTTAAAAGTGTGGCTCTCCTCTCAAATTGAAGGGCAATATTTTTTTAATTGTTTTATTTCTATTTTAGTCCCATGACCTCTGTAGTATTTACTACAATACGGTCATCTAAAATACCTGGAAAAAAAAAATTCTTGGACCATCTGAAGTGCTCCATCCATCCATTTATAGGAGCCACACGAAGATCTCTTAAGTGTTGCCTACCCCGAACCAGAACACAGGTACGTAAACTTTATTTTCCAGTTTAAGAATTAATAAACGTTGGAATAAATAAGATGCTATCTATCATACTTGTGGTATACTAGGTCCAACATATTTGAGCTTTTAATGAGACTGAGCAAACATTTCACAAAATTTAACTTAATATGCCTCAACACATCTGTGAGGTAGTTAAGTAAACAGTACTACCCATTTTTAATACATAGTAAACATAAGCATGGGTAAATGACATATTCATACTTCAAGCAGTAAGAATTAGAAGATGCCATAGAGACTTGCAGCCTTTCCTATAGTTCTAACTCAAAGGAATGTAATGTAACTTTTTAATTCTCCTTTAAAAAGAAAAAAAATTACACATCATTAAGGTTTTATCTCCTCTTTTTTCATATTTGCTTATTAGCAGCTATAGTACCATCTTCCAAACTTGGCATGCTTTTCTCCAATATGGTAAAAAAAAACGGGCAAACATTTTAAGCTAGACCTCTCTGCCTCTACCTGAATCAATATAAAATTAAAACATTATCTTATGAGAACTAAAATTATATTTGACATTTTTATTTTAGGTTGCAAAAACAAAAACAAGCAAACAAACAAACAACAACAACAAAAAAAAAACTTGAAATAGGCTTGTCATATGATGTAAAGTCATCCTTTCCAGGGAAGCAGAAGGTAGACCCTACCACAAAGAAAAGATGCTTAGTTAATGGAGGTTAAATTTAAAAGTACAGTTAAATAGTATGAGGTTAACTTCTGAAAATACTAAGTTTTATTCACTTCCTTGTGGCAACCAACACCACATACTATGAGTTAGGCTTCTTTATAGTTAATTATGTCACTAAAATGCAAAAATCCATATACAATCTGGTATTATCAGATGAAGTCTTACTGGAAATTCTTAACCATCTACTTGGTCTCATCAAGTTAAAAAAAAAAAAAAAAAATGAATTGTCTCTTTTAGTATAAAGTCACTGCACTTCGGTAACAGTAATAAAAGGCACAGCTAATGCAAGCAGATTTAAACTCATTCCACTACCAGCTGAAAAAAGTACTTTGGTTCTTCAGGAAAATAATTCATAAAACAAGAAATTAGTTTATCAATTGTCAATTACATAAGCTGTATTTTAATGATAAAAATACTCCATAAGAACCAAACTACGCAGCAATGAATGAACGTGCCTGAGAGAATTTCTGCATTCAACATATCTGACAGAAAACTATAGTTAAAATGTTAGGTAGAACAAATTTGTGTTTAAAATCAGCTCCTTTCCTTTAAAAAAATTACAGTCTACCAAGAAAATACAGAAAGATAAGGCTGTAAGTAAATAATAGTTGTGTTTAGGCTATTACAGTGCAGGTTATCCTCAAGGCCACACACATCCTGCTTCACTGTTGCTTGCACTCTGCTGGGTTTTGATCCTTCTGTTAAAGGAAAACAACAAGTCAATCTATCTTCTACCTGATGTAATGAATTTTCCAACAGTATTTGACTATCATAATATCTCTGAGTTCTATCAACATTTTTGCCAAATGTGAGCACAATGATGGCAAATTATTTATTCAAACATTAGTTAAGTCTGAGATGGATAAAACAAAGCCCAAATTTTTCATTATAGAATGAACTGCATGAGATACACCAAATCTAAATCTTAAAAAAATGAAAAACAAAATCACTAAATAATTTGTTAGCCATATAACCCATTGCCTTTCACTTTTTACAATCAGTTATTCTAAGATACTAAAATTCCATTAATACTTATCTGTTAAAATTAATAGATCTGGTAAGTTAGAATATTTAATGATTTTAAATTACCCTCTTATTTGTTCATTACATTAAAATATCTTCTGGGTATCTGACAGCATTTAGCAAATTAAAGAAACAAACAGCCATTTTAAATGGATCCTAATTATTTACTACATATTTTATGAGAGATAAGGCCTTTACTAACATTAATATTAAAAAATTCCCAGGAATTATAGACTAAAACCCCCAGGGCAACACTAGAGGTGGTTGGGAGAACCTAACAAACAACACTGTTCCCTTTATTCTGAAAATATTGCATTTAGATCTTTCAAAAACTGACTACTCTTTATAAGCTTTCCTTTGGAAGAAAAACTAAGAACACAGCAGTCAATTGTTTTTTTTTTTAATTCTCAAAACATGTTAATAATGCCAAAAATAGTGTGTCATGAAAAGTGCACTAAAATTATATGCACTGTTAAAACGCCAATGGGGATTAAATATATAGATAGATACATGTGCTATGCAGTTAATGGGTTAATTAAAGAATTTAATGGGGAAAAATAAACTTTAGTATTTAGAACACAACCCTTCCTTCAGCTGCCTTTCGTTAATAAAAAAAACACTGGTAATATTGCTCACCTTCACGTCATAGTCTGGATCATTTTCCTCATCTCCTTCTTCTTCCCCTTCCTATATTAAAGTTCAAAATGCATCCATGAAGTAGGTACAGTAGGAAGAAATGGCTCATATTGTAGAGAGAATTTAATACAAGTTACTCTATAGGTCACTAGGTTTTCATGATTAGAGTTTGGTGATAATGCAATCTAATTTGAAAGCTTCTAATATGAAAATTTCCCAACACAACTCGAGACATCCAGACAGCTTTTATTGAAAAGATTTACTGCAGCCAACGTTGAAAAAGTTTACTGCAGCTTTTGACTTCTTCAAAGAGCTGATAACCCTGCAGCAGAACAGAATTATTTGAAATAAAAAAAATGTTTCTGAGTTTTACAATTTATTTATTGAAACCTTATACATAACATTGTTTGGCTGTAGAATTCTAAAATCTATTTTTTCAAAAACCGTTCTTAACCTATATTTACATAGAATAATGATAACATAGAATACATAAGTCACTCAATCTGGTTCTCAATGTGTTTAATCACAGCATTATTTGCTCATTTGGTAAACATTACCTCATCCGCTTCTTCACCTTCTTCATCATACTAAAAAGAAGAGGGGAAAAAGATAAAAGTTTGAGTGTAACACATATTTGAGTATATCATTTTTAACATCTATAATCACACCCATTAAATGCTAAACTGAGAAAAAAATACTTTGCTTAAAGTGGCTGATAAAGGAGCTCAGATAGTACATGGTTAAAGCATTCAGCTGCTTACAAGAAAGTTGGCAGTTCAAACTCACCAGCTACTTGGTGGGAAAAAAGATGACATAGTCTGCTTAGTAAAGATTTACAGTCTTGGAAACACTATGAAGCACTTCTACAATGTCCTACATAGTCAGTCAGTCAGAACCAACCTGATAGCAGAGGATTTTTTTTGAAGGTGAACAATTTAAATTAACACAAGGACAGTAACCTCAGAAGTTATTCAGCTCAATGCCACATCTACACCAGACAATTTAAAAATTAACATGAAGAACAGTATAATCATGTACCAAAGTGTGATCAGACTTATTATATAAATATTACTTGCCTGTATTTATACATGGTACACATAAAGCCTATCCTGATATGATAATAATAATAAAGATACCTAAAGTACTGAGGACTGTTCAATTTTACCTTAATCATTACCAATTTCCCTTTGATAAAAATTCCATGTCTCCTAATAAATAATTTTATCTGGAGTACTAAGAAACTCCCATGATTGGTTTGTGTGGTCAAAAGCAAGAGCATACAGTAGATCTAAACCACCATCAAATATTAATAAAGTTTACCTAATTCGGAGCAGTCTTCCTATTAGCAGAAAAATAAAAATTAAGTCAAAAGATCTGAAAGAGACCTACTTAAATCAGAAAGCTATCTGGCAAAAATCCAATGGAATAACTTCAAATTACTCTTACTTTTTAAAACATTTATCTATTCATTTAACGACTATTACACCCTCAACTAAGTGATTTCCATGACTGATTCAGTTTCACTCACATCATCATCATCATCTTCAATAGCTTCTCCAGTAAAGTATAACACTGATCGTGGGATTATACGTTCACGTAAAAAGTGGCCAATTTCAAAGTCTGCAGCAAGGATAGCTTCAGCATCATCATCCTATTTATTTAGGAAAAGCAAAAGCACAAATTTAAAACAAACTTTATTATTTAATTTAGCATACGTGAGACTCTTGGGTTTAAATCATACAATGAAGGAAACACTCTACTTTTTACTTTGTCAGTCATTGCAGACATAAATGGTTCTGACATTCAAAATTGTTACCTTGTTTCCACTGGAATAATAAACACAGAGAAAATTCCAACCAGAATGAAATCAGGAGTTTAGTAAATAATATATAAATGACCAAATGCAGTCTGCTTTCACTATCGCTCACAGAAATAGTTTAAAGTCTCAAAAGGAAGGAAAATCAGCAGACTTTAATAACAGCTTTCCTTAAGTCAAGCATTATTAGCATTTTGAGCAGAGCAAGTTTTCAGGTCCATAAAGGGCTGGGCTGCCTGTCCCATGCACTGCAGGCCTCTAAAAACCAAATGTTAAACCACTACTATTCCACTACCCTGTTCAAGAACCAGTGCTTTAATTTCAAATTTAGTCAAGTATTCAGTCAGTAAGCAACAATCCAACTTACCAAATCCCCACTTTCAGGAACTGCAAAATTGAGAAAAGAAACTCAAATGAATAAACAACCAGACACAGTTTACTATAAAACAGCTATCAACGTCCAAACTAAAGTACTATTTACCTTCAGGAGGGGCAAAAAAATTAAAGAAAGAATCATTGGAAACTGTTTTAGTCACAGTTCGAACTGTTCCACGTCCCTTGTGTTTCTGCTTCTTCTTAATGGTTTTCAACGTGACATTCTTTCCTTTTTTCCAATCTATCTGGCACCTTCCAAAACAAAGTATGAAAAAACACTTCTATCATAATTAGCCCACAAATTTCAGTTATGATTTTTATAATTAAATGTGGTATTTATCAATATCAAAACTTGGGGGAAATTTTAAATTTTTTTAAAAATAATTATTACATTTACAATTAGCACAAAGTCATAGTATGGTAAATTTAAATGTTCCTTTCTAAAAATAGGTGTTACAGTTTAAGGGCCAAGGAGGAAAATGGCTCAAGTTCTTTCCAAAAAACACTTTATTAAAATGCTTGGAGATATATGTTGTGTATATTCTACACAGATCAAAGGAGCTCTGGTGGCACAGTGCATAAGGCATTTATTTGACTGCTAAGCAGAAGGCTGGCAATTCAAACTCACCAGTCACTTTGTAGAAGGAAGATGGAGCAATCTACTTCCATGAAGATTTATTGCCTTGGAAACCCAATGGGGTTCACTACGAGTCAGAATTGCCTCACTGGCGGTAATTTTTTGGTATGCAGAGCAGGTACACAACGGACTAGTAAATACTAAGTATCATCATAAATAAAACCAACGTATATACAATAACCTGTTAAAGTGGTAAAATTAAACTCACCCTGTACAACCCATAATTTCTGGTCCATCAAAAGAAAAGGGATCAGAATCATCTGGTTCAGACCTCATCCTGTATGTCTTTGTCAGCACTTCATTTGTGAAATACTCATTGGGTTCAAAGTGAAACTCTAAAACAAAACTCTTAGAAAGAAGAAAAACAGTACAGATATTAAATTCCTATGCCCTAAGCTTTAATGCTCTAGTAAATAAAACTTAATTTTTTGACTTTTATAAATATGTATAAACTGACCAGATCCTCTTCCCCATCCACCCTTCCCATAAACAGCCTCAGGAGTCTTTAAATTACACCAGAATCTGAACTTTAGGAAAAAAAACAACTCTGCTGCATGTACTATAAAAATCTATAGCATATAGTCACTTAGCCTTCAGTTAAGGTAATATTGATGGTTTTGGGGAGAGATTATTGGCTGAAAGAGGGCGATGGGGAATCTCTAACAGTTTATGTAATCCCAAGACATGCCTTTTAATACTATTTACTTTCTTATGTTTTTCACCAATATTTTTAACCTTAACTTTAACATAGCCTTGAAGTAATTAGGATTGACTATTTGAAAATAGTTTATGGTCAGAGAAAAAGAAATGTGAAAATTCCAATTAGCAATATTCAAATGTACTTAGTATCAAAAAGTAAAAGAACACCATCACTTTTAATTCTTTCCCATCCCCATCCCTTCACCTTTAAATGTCACCTTTTAGAAGTTCGATTTATATACCATTAAGCTCTAATGTTACAAAACTGACAATATTTCAAAGTTCTTTTACCATAGGCTGGCCAGCATCTGAGAACTTCACTTTAATATCTTTCAAGTGCTTCAGAATAGGTTCATCATGTTCCTTCAAATTAAAAATTAAACATATCTTATTATAGTGAAGTTTTATGTAGTAATTATGAACTTTAACACTTACGCTCCAGGTTATGGCTTATAATGAAACCAGTTTATGTGATTCTACAGACACTGGTAAGAAAGAATGACTAAGTAGAAAACTAATAACGGCATTATTATACATAATGAATTGGCTGAAAAGTGCAACACCAAGTCTAAATAAGACATGTTTGTTTTTAAAAATGTATCCTCACCAAAACTGCCTGCCTCTTCCATCTGTTACTTGTTCCTTTCCTTCTGCTTGATCACTTTCTACCTTGTTAAAGTAGAAATGCAATAAGCAGTCATTGTGCTGAGACCCTCCCCCAATAAAGCAAGTACAAGTAACTTAAGGAATGTTCCTGACCAGAAGAGGCAGAGTTTCCCAGAGAAGGTGACATCTGGGGGTTCCCAAACAAAGGGATACTGTGAAAGATCTTTACAGTGCCTTTTTAATATGATGCCAATGTCCCTGGCATAGTTTTTGTTTCACGATGTAAAGGTCCTTTTTTAAGCAAAAACATTATAAATTCCGAGGTTCTGTCCTCTAGTCTGCCTCGAGTATTAGAATGTAGAGGCACACAAGTATGAGAGTACCAGTCAATAATGACCAGTTAACAGGACCACTTTAGTAACTTATTTTTGAAAACATGTCAATTTATTTGATTAATGTAATCAAAGTAGAAATTTTCCTTCTACAAATAACAGCTGTTTCAAATGAATCAAATTAATCATTCTATAATAGTCAACAATAAAGAAACTAGTAGCCATCCCTTTTCTGAAGTTCAAAGGTTTACCCTATGAAGTAAACTACTGTTTTTAAGAATAAAATTACCTGAACCATATCACTGAGCAAATCAACATTCTTAAAAACAGTCAACCAAAATTCAGGAATTCCTTTGGGGTCTTCTTTTTCTTCATCCTTTTTCTCATCTTCAACCTTGGCCTTTTCTTTTAGCTCCTCCTTAATAAGTGACAGTACATATTACTGATTATCTAGATTAGATCCTCTTGATAAATTTTTGTAAATTCCCTTAACGTATATGCAGTGTCGTAAGTACAAAAGCCAATAAATTCTTAATTACCAATTACAACATTCAACCATGAAAGTTCTAATCTAATTGAACACTCCTGTCAACTTCCATCAAAACTGCTGCTATCTCCTCCCAAAAGACAATCACTAGAGCCAAGAAATGTAGCCAAGACAGCAAAAAAAAGAGAAAAACTTCCTAAGAAATAAAGCTTTTAAACCTACTAAACAGGAAAAGCAAAAGCATTATTAGGCCATGCCCAATGCCTCAATGCTTGGTGTCTTGAATACAACAATTCCTTTACTTTTAATAGTCAATATAGTATAAGAAGCAAGGTCATACAATAAAGCACTGGATTTGCACCATAGCACTGTCATTTATTATTTGTGGGCAAGCCTCCATTTTCCTCCTTTGGAAAATGGGGCACAATTCCTTACCTGTCATCATGAAGTTCAAAGGAAAAGTTTACAGAAATTTATAAACTTTAAATACTATAAAAAAAATATATAAGGAAAAAAAGAGTTTAGGTACATGTAGTACCAGGTTGAACAATGGCTCACCTGCTTTAAGTATTCATCTTATAATAAAAATACTTCCTAGGTATTAAAAGGAGCTCTGGTGGCATAATACCTAAAGCATTTGACTGCTAACCAGAAGGCTGGCAGTTCAAACCCACTAGCCACTACTCAGAAGGAAGGTTGGGGCAATCTACTTCCCTAGTGGTACCGCCTTGGCAACCCAAGGAGGGGTCACTAAGACTTGGATGCAACTCGACGGCAGTGTGCTGCATTGCATTTAGGTATTAAAAATACTACTGGTTTTATTACATCATACTGCATCATCAAATGCTAACATAGCTCAAGGTTTTTCACCTAAAAACAATTAATAATTAAAATTGGTACTTACTGAAATTTCATCCTCCTCATCTGGTTTCCACTCACATTCTTCTTCCGTAGGTTCATAAATTGCATTGATAATCTCAAATCGCTAAAATGATTTAAAATTGTGTATGATGACACTGGCATCCACGTGAAAAACTAGTGATTTCTCATTAAAGAATCTTACAGAATTATTTTTAATGCATACTTTAATTTTAACTTCCATTACTGATAGTATTCACAAGCACCTCAAGTAACTAATCACTTCAATGACAGGCCTAAATTTGAAACAAGTTCGTAAGCTATTTCCCACTTTAGAAAAATATGCAAATAATTATTTCCAGAGCTATACTTCTAGAATTTGAGATAATAAAGGCATTACCTTATCAAATAGAGGCTGATAAAGAACAGCATATTTTCTTTCAAGATCATGAACTTCCTCATAGAATTTGGCTTCTATTTGTGCACATTTAACTTGAAGGTTTTTAAGAGCATTGACTCGTCTTTTAACTACCCTAGGCAAGCTGAAAGATTAAAAGCAACAGTTACAAAGAATCATAGTAAAAACACAAGTCACAGTTCTTTTACCATACTGAAATTGAAACATTTTTAGAAGCTAGTGAATGGTAGGTCTTCTATCTAAAGGTACGTATAGATTCAATATAGAAAGTAATTAAAACTCAAGATAGATATAATTATATGAACCTCTTAACCATAAACCATTTGAAAAGCAGAAATTTAACAGGCAAAGTAAATTGGTAAGAATAATCAATTTCAGTGCTGGCATTTCAACTGTAAAATGGGGTCTTGTGGTCTTCTTATGAAGTTGAAAAGTCTTACTGACCATTCTAACTCTGAGAATAACAATTATTACCTGCAATTTTTTTTTTTTTTAAAAAAAATGTAGTTATTTCTCATCTGTTACAGTTATTAGAAGAAAGGGGGAAGAACATATGTACATCTGGAAAAAGAACAGTATCCTAACATCATTTTAGTCCCTATTTTTAATTTGGAATCTGTTACTAAATAAGAATGTATTTTATGAAGGGAAGCCTTTTATTGAGATATAATTTATATTCCATAGAATTCACCTAAGGGCATGGATTTTTAAAAGATTGTATCTGGGTTATGAGCCTCTTGATGAATGAGGAAACTTATGAATCCCTTTACCACCCAGGAAAATTGTCCCACTCAAAATTTACCCAACTTCAGGGAATCTGTGAAATAGATCCAAGAACCCAGGTTTAAAATTCCTGCTACATATAGATTTTTATATATAAATAATTCTTTTACTAAACTATTATTTTAGTTAAGATAATTAGAAATGAACACAAAGATACACCCTAAGTTGGAGACTACCTGTATTTCTGTAAAACTGGCAACTCTCCATTTCTTAAAATTCAAAGTAAAAAGTTTAATGTTCTCTCAAGGTGGTAAACTAGCATGAACTGCTGCCCCCTCCCAAAAAAGAAAAATCAATCCTGAGTCACTTTAGAACCCAAAAGGGAACAAGTATTTCCAGCACACAACACCCCGCAACACACACATCATAAGCAACTTCTGGGTTAAGGCTAAATCCTGTCTTTCATAGGATGAGCTGCAACCTGAGTTGGAAATGGCCAGAGTGAAGAGCAGTGAGAACAGAACAGGTTGGAATAAAGCTAAGTTCTGTTCTTGCCTCCCAATAATCATTGCCTGCTGGCTTCACCTTTGGCCAGACACCAGTGCTATCCTAGGATAACATGAAAGCTGAGTTCGTGAAAACTGGAATGGCTTGGAGCCTTCAAGCACTCCCTCCTCTATCACCTTCAATCTAATTACAGTAGATTACAATTGAAAAGAGACCACCTCCTCCCAAAGGTGATCAGAACACAAAATAATCTGACCTTCATTCCTCCTCTGATATTCATTACCAGAGTAAACTAAGTGATATTCCCCGAGTGTATATGAGCTCGAAGTCCAAAACTATACACTTGAGAAGTAAAATTCCCATGAAGGAATGAAATAAAGTATCATTTCCAGCAGCATTATTAGACAGACCAAGAATGTAAATATATTCAAAGAGATGAAAGAAGACGTCCATGAGATTGAACAAGCTCTTCCAGAAGGCAGCAAGAAATAAAAAACTGTAACAGCAGTCCCCAAGTTATGAACAAGTGTGAATTTAAGCCAAATTTTAAGGTAAGTCAGAACAAATGTATATGGTTCTTATTTAGCCTTACTTTGGTCCAGGAAAAGGCTCAAAGCCTCTTCAATAATTTAAAAGCTGAATGTGCAGCAAGTAAAGGTGACTGTGATGAAGAATCTGTTGCAAATAAGGGCTGGTTCTGAAGCACTCAGCTGTTAACCTGAAGGTTGATGGTTTGAGCCCACTAGCTGATTCACAGCAGAAAGATGGGGCAGTCTCCTTCTGTAAAGATTTGCAGCCTTGGAAATCTAATGGGGTGGAATCAACTAAAAGGCACCGGATTTGTTTATCATGATTTTAGGGATTGGTTTGTTGCTGCTGTTGTTGTTGTGTACCATCGAGTCACACCTGACTCATAGTGACCCCTCCTTGGGTTTCCGAGGCAGTATCACTACGGAAGTAGGATTGCCCAACCTTCCTTCCGAGGAGTGGCTGGTGGGTGAACCGCCAGCCTTCTGGTTAGCAGTCAAGTGCTTTAACCACTATGCTACCAGAGCTCCCAGGGATTGGTTTAGTAGTTTCAAAGTGAGGGCAAATTTATATACCATTAAAAGGTTAAGTGTGAGATGTCCTTAAGTGAGACATTCATAACCTGGGGACCTACTGCAAAAGAAAGAGACAGAGGTATGAACAAAAGTTAATGGAGTAAAAGAAAAAGGGCAGAGGAAGAACAGCTGAAGAACTAAGAATGATGTTTCTCAGTTAAATATGGAAATCCCACTCCACCCCACTGTCATGTTAGTGATTTATGAGTATTCAAAGACAAAAAGAAAATTGTAAAGTTCAGTAACAAAGAGCAGATAAACCTATCAAAAAACAACCCTAACTTAAGATACTTTTGATATATTTAAGAACTTTGCACTTAAAATTTTATAGCCAGCCAAATAATTCTTCATATATGAAGGCACAATAAAATATTTTATGCAACTAGCCTTCATGATGTATGACTCATTACATTCATCAAAAACAATTTTGGAGGAAGTTTAAAAAATCTAAGAGAGGAAAAAGAATAAAGTAGAGGATGAGAGACATCAATAGGAATGAAGTTTAGTTACATATTAAGTTCTGAGCTACAACCACAGTAACAAACCAAATTAACTAACTTTAAAACCAGCAGAAGGTAACTTGATCTAGCCAACTGAAAGCAAAAAAAAAAAAAACCCACAATAAATTAAAACTAAGGAAAGACAGCAGCAACAAGTCCAAAAACAGTATCACTTTCAAAATCTGTAAAGAAGCTAACATTCACACTAGAAGAAGCTATGAGGATGGAAAAAGACATACCAGGTAAAGAGAAATCAAAACAAAGCTGGAGTACCTATCTTAATATCAGAAAAAATAAAATTTATTGGGGGAGGAAGGGCAGCCATAAAATACCAAGAACATTATAAGCCAGTAAAATGGAATAAAGATATGGGTATCACAAACAGCCTATATCTAATACATCTTCAAGATAGCAAGCCAGAACTGACAGAACTACAGGGATAAACTGATGAATTTTTAACCTATCCTTCCCAGAAACTGCTCTATCACGCAGGCAGGCAACCAACCACCAGAAATAAAAGTAACTTGAAAAATTTATTTAATAAGCTTGATTTCCAAGTATAGAGTAGACAGATCTTACAGCCCAGTAGTCACAGAACATTTATAAAAACAGACTATTCAGGCCATAAAAGGACACAGATTTTTTAAAATTTCACATGAACTAAGCATTCGATTAGAGAAACTGGCTGGAAATAAAAATAGGGCAAACCCAAATAGGGAAATTACGATTAAAGCCAGCCATCAATTTTAAAAATAACGCAATGCTGTGTGAAAGGAGAGGTAAGCACCCCCCATGACAAGGATGAAAGAAGCCCTCCAGCTTTACAAACTGCATTCAGTTAAGGCACTGCTACTAGCTCTGGTAGCATAGTGCCTAAGGCACTTGACTGCTAACCAGAAGGCTGGCGGTTCAAATCCACCAGCCACTCCTCAGAAGGAAGATGGGGCAATCTACTTCCGTAGTGACACTGCCTCGGAAACCCAAGGAGGGGTCACTATGAGTCAGGTCTGACTCCACGGCATATAACAATAACAACAACAACAACAACAAATACCTACTTGTGGCATCTAACCACAGTTTTCATGAATTTTCCAATGACCCAGATATAGGATAATAAATGCTCTCACTATTTTGGAAAGAATGAAGAAGCTAATTATATTGAATGACGTGTAAAGTCACCATTTTAAGACACTGTGTCAACTATGCAGAGATTTTAATTGACTTTTTAATGACTAGCACTTTTATCTTAGTAATAGACTCCTGTGGCCATCTAAAAAAAGCAACAATACAGAAAGTCAAAAGTAAGTTTTAAATTATCATTAATGAGATCGTGACATCTGGCAAGACCAATTAAGATGGAAACACCAAATATGAAAAGGAATCAATCAGGTTTTTAAAAAATATAATCAATTATATCGTAATTAATTTTAAACCTATACACAAAATGCATGTTGTTTTCTTGTTGTTACGTGCCATCAAGTCGGACCCAACTCATAGCAACTGCTCCTTGGGTTTCCGAGGCAGTATCACTATGGAAGTACATTGCCCAACCTTCCTTCCAAGGAGTGGCTGATGCCTTCTGGTTAGCAGTCAAGTGCCTTAGGCACTATGCTACCACTTACATAGACCATTTAGTATATAAAAAAATTGGGATGGTAATCCAGACTTCCCCCAGGTCTTCTAGTTCCCAAGCTCCAAAGGCCCACATAAATTTCTTTTAGGAGAGAGTTCTAGCAACCACTCAATAAACAGTCAATTCCTATCTTATCCAAGTGTTCCAGAAAACAAAAGTAAAAGCAGACCTATTCATTTAATGATCCAGTGGAAATCTTGCCTCTAAAATCAGTTTAATAGCATCACAACCCCTAAAATTTCTTTTTATATATACACATACTGTCTTTAGGTGCTGTCAAGTCAGCTCAGACTCTTTATCAATCATATATACAAGAGAACAAAACATACACATACATACATATACACACACAAACACACATACATATATACAGGTAGGCCTCAACTTACGATGGGGTTCTGTTCTGATACTCCATCATAAGTCAGTTCTGATGTAAGTCAAATATCTTTTTTTTTGTTTTCATTATTATTGCCCTCTATTTTAAGTATCTTAATAAATCTGATCTTTGAACATATGCAAAGTAAACATCTGAGAATGGTAACATCAGCAAATTACACACTGCAAATTATATGTAGTACATATCACTAAATAAGATGTACCCCTACCCTGCAAAAAGAAAGACTCATAACTGCAGTTTATCACAACTCAGATACACCCTAAGTTGGAGACTACCTGTATTTCTGTGTACACATGCATACACTACATTCACATCTCATTTCACTAAAATATCAGCACAACGGTGCAACAACAGTACATCATAATTAAGCTTATACTATGAATGCAAGGATAGTTTGATGAGAAATATATTTAATATCTATTTAATAGAGTTAAGGAAGAAACTGGTAAGACCATCTAAACCGCTACAGGGAAAACAAAAGTCTGAAAAAATGTAAATACATATTGAATTTAATGGAGAGTTTATAGCCATTCCCTGTAAGATTGGAAATGAAACAAAGATCCCCATTTTAGTAATGCTTAACACAATATCGAAAGTCTCAACCAGTGTTACACTGAAAGATAAGTATCACTCATAACAACACAGCTAAATTATACAGAAATTAACCAAGAATAGACTCTGGAGAGAATTTAAAACTATAACAAACATAGCACACCATCTGTATAAATCCAGATATAGATGTGCCAATTTTTAAAAGGTATCTCGTCCACCATATTTGCTTATAAAGTCAATGCAATTCTTACTAAAACTACAGTTCGTTTTGGAGAATCCTGGTATTACCATGAAACATTATGAGGAATAAAGATCTACATACAGTTTTAAAAAAAGCCAGTTGCCATGAATCAATTTCAAATTATGACAACCCGATGCATGTCCATAGCTTTTCAATGGCTGTTGTTTCAGACGCAGATTGCCAGGTCTTTCTCCCCAGACACCTCAGGGTGGACACCAACTCCAACCTTTTGCTTAGTGTTGATCATGTGCACCATTATATATGGTTAGTTCATCCATAAAAGTGCGTAGGAGAGGGGACTGATATGTAAAGAAGATAATTTACCAGCCAGATATTAAGATATACCAAAATTAATTTGACAGTGACAAAAGACAAAGACCAATAAAACGAAAGAATGCCACTCAAAATACAAATGCATGTGTTTATAAGAACCTGATACAAAATAAAGATGGTACTAAAAAGAAATGGAAGAAGATTGGGTTGTTTAGTGAAAGCATTATGAAAACTAACTCAGTATAGGAAAGTGGAACTAGATGCTTACCTACACCAAATACAAAGGTGGACACTACATGCATAAAGACCTAAATGTGAAAGGTAAAACTAGTCAATAAAGAAATGTAGAAGGAGCAAGGAAGGATTTTTGAAATAAATTCAAGCACAACATATGGCCAAAGATCTTAATTACATAAAAATTAAGGATTTCTCTTTAATTGAGAATGCTGTGAAAGTTCATAGAAATAACAGATTATTGACAGATCAATGACAGAAGGATGATAGATCATTTACAATGTCTAAAATAAGGGACTAATATCTAGATACATAAGGTATCCTCAATGAAAATGGGTAAAAGATACAAAATGGGTTCATTAGCAGTATGAAGGATAGCTGGTGGCTTAGTGCCTAAGGCATCTGACTACTAACCTGAAGGCTGGAGGTTCAAACCAACCAGCCACTCCTTGGAAGGAAGACTGAGCAATCTATTTCCGTAGAGATACTGCCTCAGAAACCCAAGGAGGGGTTGCTATGAGTTGGAATCAACTCGACAGCAGTGAGTTTGGTTTTGGTTTTAGAGTAGTATGAAAAGCAGCTCAAAACTCATTAGAAAACAGAAAATGCTAATTAAGCAACTGATCTGTGCCTATTGGACTGGTAAATTACAAAGCTGGATGACGTCAACTGTTGGCAGAGACATCAGAATGAAGAATGCACTGGACAGCACCACTCTGGAGAACAAGTTTTAATTACTTAAGTCTTACATACTCTACTTAGCAATTCTATTGCTTATACTTATGTCAAAGAATTCTTAAGTTCCTTAAAAGGGCATGCACAAAGATGCCCACTGCAAATGGAATTTATGGTGATGGAGGCTAGAAGAAATCTAGGCATCTAACACAGCAGATAAAAAAACATGGTGGATGCACACCATGAAGAACTACATAGCAGTCAGAAGAAGGTACAGACTGGAGATACAGACAGATAACAATGTGGATGAGTAAGTTAAACAAATAGAGCTAAACAAATAAATTAAGCAGAACAAGATACTTAAGCTATCAATGATTTATATCAACGATAAAACGAAAATGAAATGTTATTTCCTCTAGTTCTGTACATTTCTAACAAATCACTAGACAAATCTTAGAAATGGTTAAGATCATTATATTTCCTATGGCCCAGAGCCAAAATAAACTTTAACAGACCAACTGTAAATTGGTGGTACTTGGCAAAGTTTTACACTCCCAATAATCCTATATTAGTACTAATGGACATTACCTTTCTCCTACATACTAAGTCCTAAATGCTCTTTTTTAAAAAAGAAAAAACAGATATGCCTCCAATGGTGAATATAGAAAGATAAATAAGGACTATGGGAAAGTAGAACTTGTACCTTTCAATGTATCCTGTTGGTGTTTCTACCAGACCATCAAGTCTTTCTTGAAGGGCTGCAAGAATCTGAGGATTTTGCATCATCTGAACAGTCAGCTGACGCGCTTTAAAATAAAAAATAAAAGGGGGGGGCATCGAAAGAAGGATTTTATGAAAATGTCTTATTCTATTTTAATAGGACAATCTCAATCATGAAGTTTTCATGATCTGCCCATAAATCACTACTATAATGAATAGAGATGGGCAGCAAACCGAAGAAAATAACACTCTTTTGGAAAATTCAATGTTCAGGAAAAGTTCAGATTCCTAATGATCTCTAATTCACACCATTTCTCAGGGTCATTGCCACAACTACTACGCACAATCATCCTTTCTTTTCCTAGTATTTTTGTTTCACCTACCTTACATTTTGGGAAGCGCAAAGCTTCATTCAGATGTCTACCTACAACTCTTAACATCTCTCTGAAGGCAGACAACATGTATCAAGAAAACACAATTACATGAGTTTTAAGCCTGGGAGAAAGACAGAGGGGTAAGTGGGCCTGAATGTATGTCTGATATTCATGTAGAGTACTTTTGTATATCTAAAAGTCAAAGACTGTATGTAACAGAAGCCAAACAAAATCTAGTGATTAACGGCTTCTAAAAATGATTAAAAATCCAAATAAGCTAGATTTATACAAAAACAAAATGTTGCTGTTTTGTTGTCTTCTTTGATACAGGTATTACTCAAAAAGGCATTAGTTTACCCAAGTTATACGTTTCAGGGCCAACTACTTCCAATGTTAATTCAATTTTTAGATGATATACAACTATGGTAACTAGCATGAATTTAGAAATACCAATATTGGCTACTGAGGATGTAAGTTCTGAACCTTTTAAGAAACGGTTACAAGATGAAAGCTAAAGCTGCAAGTTTACAAGTCTCCTCATCATAATTAAACTCCATCTGGTTTAAAACTGAAAAGTTAAATCATCTGGTACTTTAATATTCCTAATCCTGATCCACAGGACATAATCTAAAGCAGTATAATGTTCTAGGACCACCCCCATCCCCTTAAGTGAATTTTTAATGATTCTGTCTACATTTGATAAATGCTTCTTTTTTGTTGTTTGGTTGGAAGAGTGGATTCTTTAAAAGAAGAGACATACACACTACATGTTTACTATGTATTACATACTAAACATATTTAACTATTCTTTCCTTTGTTTAAAATTACTACTAAAACCACCCATCAAATGTAACATTTTGAAATTCATACAAAACTCATGGTCAGCTGTTTAAGACAGCTACATCATGTCACTCCAGCAGTACATATGCAATGACTTTTCATAGGTCAGTATATACATTCCCTCTTCCCTTATTACCACACATCACATACATACATAAACACATATACACAATCACTGAACTTGAGGGACTAGTGATTAAGTGGAAAAAAGGGGGCATAAAGAGAATAGTACGTATTACTACCCACTAGAGGACATGTGCCAGCAATCACTGGCTCCTAAAGTAATTGAAAATAATACCTTTGATTTTTGTTTCTTCACCCGTTTCTTCTTCTTCTATTTCTTCAACATCATCCAAATCTTGATCAAGTTCAGACTGTTCTTTGCTACAATATCATAGTATCACACCAAGGTTCAAATGTACCAATTACAAAATATATATATATATATATATCTTTGCTACAATATCATAGTATCACACCAAGGTTCAAATGTACCAATTACAAAATATATATATATATATATATAAACTTAATTTCATTTTCTAGATTAATATGCCTCTTTTAAAGATACAAAACAGAAAATTCAGAAGGTAATTCAGCTTTCCTTCCAATTTCATATCTAAACAATTACAAATTGAAGATAAAACTTTCATTTCAAAGTATATGGTCAAATATAAAGTTTATACTTCAAGCTTGAAAATGTGGCTTGGTAAGACTTTTGTTTGGGGAATATGTCAGGAAGTATGTACTTTCTACCCAATCTCCTCCTTCCTTCTTAGTAATTAACACACAGCTAAATGTCTGTTTCCCAGCCTACCTTTTAGCTAGATATGGCTATGTGACTAAATTTTAGGCAGTAAGACAATAGCAGTAGAAATACAGAACTTTGAGGAAGCCTCTATCTAAGGCGTAACTAGCTAAGTAGCCGTCTTTGAGCCTCCTCCCTTCTCTTCCATCTGGAAATGGCTAGTAGCCATGGTGGGCCATAAAGTAAACTAAAGAATGAAAACTACTAAGCAAAAGATGAAGGAGTTTGGGGGTGAAGGGGGACAGAAGGAGCCTGGCCTCTTGATGGCTGGTGAAGCAACCATTCCAGCCTACACTCAATATCTTTACACTTTCTTCCTTTGTCTATACTTCATAGTAGAGAAGGTGAAAAGTAGTTAAAGTTAAGAAAACTTCTGAGTCTATCTCATGTTTAGATCAAAGTCAGGAGGATGGTTCTAGTGAAAGAGGTTAAAAGAAATAAATGATGTCCTTCCCATTTCATCTTAAAATCTAGTTTTTCAACATAAGATTGCAACTAGCACAAAAATGGAATAATGATCTAAGTCAATGTACAGGGCCATCATGTAAGTCCTTGTATGATTTTTCATTTTAACATTTGGATTACAAATTTAGTTGCTTTGATGTCTGTAAGCTACATGTGAAAATTAATCTTCACGTAAAGACAAACACTAACTAGTTACTTCAAAAAAAGGTTAACTGTATTTTATGCTTACAAGTTAAATGCCACTGGCTAAGAATAAAATGGAGCACTTCCTCTACTGTCATTTTATTCAATCATTTATTGAACATTTAAATCTTAAAACTTTGAAACATGGATCCAACTACGTCCTATGGCTAAATATGGCCCATTGTTTTTGTAAATAGTTTTTTTTTTCTGGAGCACAGACACACTAATTCATTTACATAATGTCTATGGCTACTTCCATTACTACAACAGCAGATTTGAGTAACTATTAGAGACCACATGGTCCTAAATGTCTAAAATATCTACCATTAAATCCTTTACTGGAGAAAGTTCGTTGACTCCTGCTTTAAATAAGAGTATATTAAATGGAGAGGGAGAAATCAAGCTGCTGTTACAACCAATTTCTTCTTCTCTCTCTTATTTTTTAAAAAAATAAAAAATGAGGTTTCCAAGTTAAAGTGGTAGATGGTACATTCTTCTCTCCAAAAGTCTGACTAATTTTGTAATAAAGGAATTTTAAAATGAACAAATACTAAACAAGGAGACAAGAGCAGCACTATTTTGGAAAACAGAACAATTTAGACTTCACTAAGAGAGAGCTGAATTCTAAGGTAGCAGTGGGGAAAGGTGAGAATCAGCTCAATTTATAAACACAGAATCTTAAAAAAGACAAGAACTGGCAGCATCAAATATACTTCTAGAAGTAGGGTTAAGGAAATGAGGATAGTGATAACAGGTAGGATTAAATATAACTGATAAGCAGTTAAGAGTCCTTAGGATCCTCTGCCCCCACTCTGGCAAAAGTATGGTAGTTTCTTCTCTGGAGAAGGTAAAACTGAGGACTTGGATTGGAGGACCAGACATAGTTAAGAGTATTTAAGATATAGGATTGGCTCTATACACATTAAACTAATGCTGAATGCAAAGACTCCACCCTCTAGCCTTCTCCCAGATCTTTACCCTTTCACTAGAGAATCTGACCAGCCCAGAGAAAAATACTCTTACACTAGTAGTTTTCATATTTTTATGTCCAGGCTGATGACCCTATATATAAGAAAACCCCAAATGGCAAGCCTCCATCACCTAAGCACTCAAATTTTCCAATCAACTTTCTTGTTAAACATTCAACAACTGCCCCACAACCAGCCAATCTTAATGAGCAGACAATCAATTACTGCCTAATATTTGAAGAAAGTATCTTACAATTGAGATCAAAACAGGAGAAATACAGAGTTAAGAGACTACACAGGCAGAAGAAACATCCAGAGGAAAGGTATGAAATCAATGAGACAAGAACAGAATGCTATCAAAGAAGGTACATTCAGACAGGTAAAGAAGCTCTTGGAAGCTAAAACATGTCAGAAATGTTAAAACTCATTACTACAGTTCAAAGAATTTCTTTAATTTTCTACAATTTTGCCCAGAATAAAAAGACAAAGATGGAAAACAGAACGAAAGATTGAAAGAAGAGAAAAAAGACAAAGATGGAAAATTGGACTGAAGATAATTAGAACACCAGTCCAACATATAACATCTGACTAACAGGAGTCCCAGAAAAAGGAAACAGAATAAGGCAATCAACAAAAGTCAAGAATATTTCCCAGGACTGTAGCAGTGAATTGCCAGACATAAGAAGTCTGTTATTAAATGCTTAAAACAACGAATAAAAATACACATACACACATCAATGTGAAAATTTCAGAACTCTAAAGTCAAAGAAGCTCCTAGAAATATGTGTGTGTGTATAAATATCACAAATGATTACTAACCGACTACAGACTTCAACACAGCAAAACCGGAATCAATGTGACAATGGAGCAATGCCATTAAAATTCTGAAGAAAAATTAATTCCCAACTAAAATTGTACACCCCAAAGTATAAAGCATGAGGGCAGAATACACATACTTTTTGTGCAACTAAGGTTAAGCACAAGGCATTGACTTCAAAAGCCACTGTCACAGAAATGTCTGCTACCATGCTTTTTTCTTTTTTTATGATGAAGACAGCATGCATGGGTGGGCTGGGCCAGTTCTCTGTATGTGGGTATGCGGACCTTGTGCTAAAGAAGTTTCCAGCCTTCCCACCTCATGCCTTGCTGTTTTTAACAGCTGTGGATATAATTACCCCTCTCACCCCCAACGTTCTACTTCAACCTACTACCCCTTTTTTGGTAGGCTACTGTTGAAATTACTAAGCATCAAATAACAGTACAGCTCATCCCTTTTTGTCTAACATGTCTGTAAGACATTTGCACACCGTACCCTTCTGGAGTCTAAGCTGGTTAAACCTATGGTTTCCAGGATGCATGACCTTGCCCAAGGACTCCTCCAAAAGAAGCCCTTTACAAAGCCTCAGCAAAGCTGAAACCAGCCTATGACCTATATAGTATTTTTTGGTTTCCACCTTTGGAGCCTTCAACTAATAGTGGTAATACTGCCTTTTTCTTTACACAGTTTGTGATTGTTACTCAGATTTTCAAAATTAAACATTAAGAATTCATAGGTGGTAAAACTACAGAAAAGCAAAAAAATGAACTAGATAAAATCCAGGATAGTGCTTACACCTCCAGAAAGGTGGAAGATGAAAGAGCAAGAGGAACAAGTAGTAATAATGCTCCAATTTTTTTTTAAAACTTGTACACAACTCTTTTATTATTCACTAAACTCTGCATATACATTTTATATGTACTTTATACTTATCTTGTACTTACACTGTATGTACATACTTTTAGTAAAATCTTTAAGATATATATTTATGTTAAAAATGAATTCTGTAAGTGATTTATGACCAATTATCGTGCTCAGCACTTTCCTAAGACCACTGATAAACACTTTACTGTATTTATGACAGAAATTACTGATACTGTATTTTATCATGGATACACTATACCCAACTTTTATTATAGCAAGTACTAACAATTAGTCAACTACCATATACTTTTACAATATATAATCAATACTACTATTAACTACACCATGGTACAAAAATGACACCAATTCTCCAAAGAGAACCAACTATCTGTCACTTACTTGTCAATGTCTGCCATGTTGTAAGAACGCCAAATATCTATGGAGAGAAATGTCAATGTTAAAAAACTTTAAGATTTATTTAAAACCAATACAAACATCTGAAGCCAAAACTTTTTTTAAAACAATGCCAGCTTTTGAGAACTATCCCAAGAAATACATACTCCCTTCGAAAAGGATCAGTGTTCAGAAGAAAAAAAAATCATAGAACACAGGAAAACAAGACTACATTGTTAGTCACAAAAAATAATTTTTCAAACTAGATATTGCTTAAAACAAGCAAGTTAATTACCATTAAAACGCTTAGACTATCTTATACCTTCTGTTAAAAAAAAAAAAAAGAAAAACCTAACTCATTGCCTTCAAGTTGGTTCTGACTCACCGCAATCAGTTTGGGTTTCCAAGGCAGTGTTTCTACAAAAGTAGATTGCCCAGTCTTCCTTCCAAAGAGTGGTTGGTGGGTTTGAACCGCCAGCCTTCTGTTTGGCAGTCAAATGCCTTAGGCACTATGCTAACAGAGCTCCTACCTTCTGTTACAACAGCATTATTTGTAAAAGTGATGTGGGTCTTTATTATTCAACTTAACAACCACAAGTGGTCAATTTTTGCTTGAAATTTTACTTGATAACTCACAGACCAAGCCCACTTCATTTTCAACAGTATGAATTTCCATCAAACTCATGTTAATTAAGTCAAAATCCTACTGGATTTATGTCCGTTGACTACGTTAGCTGTCACCAAGGTGGACCCACACACCAACTAAAACGATGCCTGATCTTACATTTATCATGTAAAAAACCAATCACCATGATCAGCTGCAGACTGGACCATTGTGATCCATAAAGTTTTTATTGACTGATTGCCAGGCCTTTCTTCATAGTCCATCATAGTCTTGAAAGTTCTGTTGAAACCTGTTCGGCCATCATAGCAACATGCAATCCTCCCTTGACAGGTAAGTGGTGGTTGTGCATGAAGTGCACTGACTGGAAGTCAAACCCCAGTCTCTTGCATAGAACATGAGAATACTACCACAGAACCACCACTTAGTCAGATATACCCCTGGAGATCTTAAAAAAAACACTAATTCATTACATGTCTATCACATTCATCAAATGTCAACCCTTTAAACTAGTCTATGACAATTACAAAGTTCTAGATTCCAACCTATTCCAGGTAAATCTTTCCCTTCTTTTCAAATGTACTTCACATCACGCATCACTGTTCAAACCCACCACAGCCGCTCCTCAGTGCTGTCCACTCCTCTGCCTCCCCAGCATATTGTCCAAATGCTCTTGGTTAACAGACCTGAATAAATTTATTGTGAGGACTGAACAGAACATATCCGAAAGCTTTCTCATAAAAAGATAAACTATTTGTTAAAGAATATTGTCTTTAAGAAAAATGTAAATGTATTCTATTGACATAAAAATTGATCGCTAAATGTCACAGGTAATATAGATAAAAAATTTAAACCAAGTTAGAATTCCACATGAAAATTAAGTCTTTAACCCACCAAACGCTATGTGATTACTCACAGCAAGCAAAGTATGCTTATACTTGGAGAAGAGCTGAAAATGCTAGCACTTAGTAGCCAAGTAGGAGCTCTGGTAACGTAGTGCCTAAGGCACCTGACTGCTAAACAGAAGGCTGGCAGTTCAAACCCACCAGCCACTCCTCAGAAGGAAGGTTGGGCAATCTACTTCCATAGTGATATGGCCTCGGAAACCCAAGGAAGGGTCGCTATGAGTCACGGCCGACTGGATGGCAAATAACAACAACAGTAGTCAAGTGCTAATATTTGGAGGAAGTATTATTACTGGTCTAGTATCTTTTTGGTAAATTATTAAAGATATTTATTCCAAATGCATCCTAGTCAATTTTAAATATTTTCTAATTCTTTTAAATAATTATCAACAGCACTGATAGTTTTTTCACTGATGTTTAGTAAAATTAGCCAGCAATAAAATGTTTAGCAACTATTACAAAGAAATCCCTATTGAAAACAAGAAAAATATTCAATCTTAGTCATCAAAGAAATTCAAGTGGGATTCCAGTTTCTGTCAAATTAGCAAGGATTTTCTTTTAACCTAGGGAAAATTGTGGTCAAAGTGTACTCCTGAATATAGCTAGTGTTGCTAAGAACTATCAGAGCAATTTGCCCATACTGTTGTTAGGGTGCCATTGAGTCAGCTCCAACTCTTAGCGACCCTATGTACAACAGAATGAACACTGCCTGGTCCTGTGCCATCTTTTCAATACTTGCAATGCTTGAGCCCACTGTCACAGCCACTGTATCGACCCAGTGGTCATCCCCTTTTCCACTGACCCTCTAACTTTACCCACCATACCCCTTTCTCCAAGGAATGATTCTTTTCAACAACATGACCAAAGTAAGTGAGAGGAAGTCTGGCCATTTTCCCTTCTAAAGAGCATTCTGGATATACTTCTACCAAGACAAACTTGTTTGTTTTTCTGGCAGTCCATGGTATTTTCAGTATTCTTCACACACATCAAAATTCAAATACATCAGTTGCAGATCCAAGTAGAATTAAATCCTTGACAACTTCCATCTTTTCTCCATTTATCATGATGTTGCTTATGGTCCAGCCGTGAAAACTTCTGTTTTATGATGAGGTATGATCCATACTGAAGGCTATAGTAGTCTTTGATCTTTATCAGTAAGTGCTTCAAGTCATCTTCATTTTCAGCAAGGAAGGCTGTGTCCCCTGTATATTGTAGGCTGTTAAAAAGTCTTCCTCCAACCCCAATGCCCTGTTTTCCTTCATATATAGTCCAGCTTCTTGGATTATTTGCTCAGCATACAGATTGAGTAAGTATGGTGAAAGGAAACCACTATGATGCACACCTTTCCTAATTTTAAACCATTCAGTATCCTCTTGTTCTATTTGACTGCCTCTTGGTATGTATGTCAAAAAACTTAAATATGCCTGCCCTTAAGTTATTCACTTATGAGTATCTACTGTGAAGAAAATTAAAATGAACCAAGGACCTTTGCTTTTCACATTTGCCTGGAAGGTTATTCCAAATTCTGGTTAAACAAGTCTTATACATCTTTTGGCTGTCAGCTTAAAATTTTACTTCTTCAGAGATGCCTTATTTAATAACCTTGCCATTGTGGCTATAATCTGTTTCTTGGTTGTACACCCTCATACATAAAACTCTATTTCTTCTCATCACAGAGCATTTCAAGTGTAATTAGTGTCACTATTTCTGTAATTAGTGTCACTATTTCATTAAGATCTATATTCCCTGACCAGACCACAAAATTCATGACAAGGATGATACCTACTTTTGCCAAACATTGATTGCATACTCCAGAGCAGCACACCAAACATACATGGTAGTTATAGTTAGCTATTTATTGCATCAAAAATAAACTTAGCCCATCTCACCCATGTTAGAACGGCAATAATTTTAAAAAAGTAAAAAAAGGTGTTGGTGAGGTTGTGGAAAAACTGGAACTCTGTTCCATTGCTGGTAGGAATGTAAAATGATATAGCCACTGCAGGAAAGTTTGGTAGTTGCTCAGAAAGTTGAAGAATTACTATATGACCACCCAGCAATCCCAATCCTAGGTATATACACCCAAAAGTGAAGACAAGAAGGCAAACACAAACCCATACAACAATGTTCACTGCAGCACTTTCCAATAAAGTAGAAACAACTGAAATGTTCATCTACAAAGAACAGATAAACAAAATATAGTATATACATACAAGGGAATATTAGTTGGTCATGAAGAGAAATGAAGTCCTGATGCATGTACACCATGGATGAAACTTGAAAGTCAGTTGCAAAAGGACAAACACTGTATGATCTCACAAGAAATAAGCAAATATATGCTGCCATTGTTAGCTGCCTTTGAGTTCATTCAAGACTCATAACAACCCCATTTGTTACAGAGTATAATTGTTCCACAGGGTTTTTTCTTGGCTATAGTCTTAACAGCAGCAGCCTGGCTGTCTGCTAACCAAAAGGCAGCAATTTGAACCCACCAGCCATTCCGTGGAACATTTGACATTCTGCTTTCAAAAAAGATGTATAGCCTTGAAAACTATAGGAGTAGTAGTTCAACTGTCCTACAGGGTCACTATGAATCCAACTTGACAGCAAAAACTTTTCTTCCCCTGCATGGTTTTGAAGAGATAACCTGTAGGTTAGCAGTCAAGGGCAAACTGTTTATGCCACCTAGGGACCTGAAGCAAATACATAAACACCAAAAAACCAAACCCACTGCTATAGAGTCATATCTGACTCATAGCAACCCCCCCCCCTTGGGTTTTCAAGGCAGTTTCACTACGGAAGTAGATTGCTCAACCTTCCGTCCGAGGAGCGGCTGGTAGGTTTGAACCGCCAGCCTTCTGGTTGGGAGTCAAATGTCTTAGGCACTACACTATACATAAGAACAAAAAATTCTTAGTGGTTAGCAGGGGTTAGAAGGGGGCAAATGGAGAGGTTTGCTTAGGCAATGAGTTTACCTTAAATGTGACTGAATAATGTCTTAAAGGATATTGAGAATGACTGTACAACTTAAAGAATGCAATCAGTGTCCCTCAATTAAAAAAACCAAATTCACTGCCATCAAGTTGGATCCAACTCATAGCGACCCATAACTTGGGTTTCCGAGGTGGTATCACTACAGAAGCAGATTGCCCAACCTTCCTTCAGAGGAGTGGCTGGTGGCTTTGAACCACCATCCTTCTGGTCAGCAGTCAAATGCCTTAAGCGCTATGCTATCAGAGCTCCTGTCCCTGAATTACACATTACACACAAAGAATTATTCATCTGGCATGTTTGTTGTGCATATTCTTTCTCTCTCTCACACACACACACCCCTCAGCACTAACATGGAATATGCATGTAATGCTCTGCAGTCAAAGAATGAAACATCCAAATTGATATGGAAAGAGCACCAAAGCAGGCTATAAGATACATGCCAATACCTCATTTGATATTTTAAATGTGTGTGTGTATACACATACATGTACAAATATTTCCTTACATTTCTGGAAAAATACA